CTTTTTTCTTTGTCAAAAAATTCCTTTTTTATTCCTTTTTTCCCTTGCGTAGTTTTTACAAGAGGGGAGTTATACAATTTGGATTTATGGTCATGACTGTAGAGATGATCTGCAGGTGCTGATCCTATCAGAAATTTGGGATCTTAATCCTATTCTTTAGGGGAACAATACATTATCCCCATAAATCGCATCTAGAGATTTTGGCTAAAGATAGGTGAGTTGGGTCGAAGAAATTTGTACTTTGCATATATTCTCATGCGTGTAATGGTTCTCTATGATTTAATAAATAAACGACACCAACCTGATTGCGGGATTAAAAAAAAAAAAAAATAGCCATATTTATATATCTTATATCTTAATATTAAACATGTAATTATAAACTATGTTTTTAATAAAGATTATGAAACATGTTTTACCTTAACATTAAAAAAAAAAAAAATTATATTAGAACAATTATTAAATATTAGAAATACTTTTTTAAATAATCTTAGACATTGTGCTAAAGTTAATGGTTAACATTTGAACAATTAATTTAATATATGCAAATATTGAAAAAAAATAAATTACTTGTTATATTACTATAATTGTTTTATGAATTATAATAAATATACTATAAAATGTACTGTAAGTCTGGAACATTAATACTTTAATAAATAATTAATAAAAAAATAAATTTAAATTTTCAATATCATATTTTTTTAATTATTAATTTATTAATCATTTTAATAAAAAAAACGAACTTAAAATAATTACTAATATAAATATTGAAGATGTTCGAGAATACATATTCAAATGTATTACACGGATGTAGTCCCTTAAGACTTAGAATCAGGGATCATACATAAGTGTGACGATCTCACTGAGCACTCAACTGGCATGAATAGTGAAGATGAAATGGTGTCAGTGTGGTTCCTCAATAATTTAGATCAAGAACTGCGCATTTTAAAAGGATATGATAGTTTAATAGTATGGAATTATAGGAACCGTGTATTTCAGGACGTAGTGATCCGGGTAGTAATGATAGAACGGTGTGGGTATGATCCAAGACTTTAGATTATACCGTAAGGAGTGTGGCGATCTTACTGAATGGTATCTGGTAATAAGATGGGATGGTAAAAAGGAATTGTTGATCTCACCAGATGGCATTCATTTTATATTTAAGATTAGAAACCGCGCATTTTAATAGGATAGTGAAGATAGTGTGGTTCGTATCAGGGATCGCCCGTTTTACCTGATGGCATCGGAAGCTTAGGATGGTACGGGTGTTTTATAGCGTCTTGTGCTCTGGACTTACAATGGTTCCCATTTCCTAATTATTATTATTATTATTTCGTTATTTTTTTAATTAAAAAAATAATGCTTACGATAATATAATTAATTTACTTTCATAAAAGTTTGCAATATACAGTATACATGCAAAAACTTGAATGATTTTCCCTCATATTTCATAGTTCTAATTCCATTATGATATCAATATCTAGATATTATATCAACAGAAAGTTTGCTTTTATATGCATACTCTTTCGCCATATTTTTTTTCTGTTTATCACAAAAACCAAATCATATACTGGTATCGTCAGGTAAAAATATGTTAACTTTAACAAATTTTCCTTGACTTAATCTGACCCTACTTCAATATTATTTACGTAGGGTTCCGATTGGTTTCGATACGGTTCTTTTACCAAAATCCATCTCAGATAATATTCGAATACTTAATTCCATTCGCACATTTGCTAATTTTTTAATCGCGCATTTACTCATAACGCCAATTTTTTTCAAAAAATGGATGAATGCGTGACTAAGACTTTTATTAGTGTTACAGGGAAATAAGGAGTGATTCGTCACGCGATTCTATATCGGGTATCGCGATAAAAATTAGAGGGATAAAGAGGATGATTGGGATAAAGAAGATAATTAGGATAATGAAAAACATGTATAAATATACTTAACTTTCATTGAATAAAAGGCAGCAATTGTGTGCTCATAGTTGTGAGCAAGTGTGCTCATTTATTAAATAAATCTTATCTGTGTGATAAATCACTGTGTGTTCTATTTTTCAGTGTTTTATTTTAGTTTCGCCCGTGATCACGTGACCTACGGACGAAGATCGATCAAATTCAATCGCCTCTTTCGCCTACAAGACAAGAAGAAGAAAGTGTTAGTGACGACACGAACGACATAGCTAAATAGGGCAAAGTGGGCCTACTTAGCTGTCATGTGACATGCCGCGACCAGACCTGTGTGCAAGTGACTGACTCGCCGTTTCTCGCCGTTAATATTTGAATGCCTTATGCTATACATCTCAGCCGATTTTTTATGCCTTATTTTCATTCTTTTTCAACTCCATTTCACGCGTCTCAGTCAGTGATTTTTTTTTTTTATTAACATTTCAAATTTTTTATGTTTATCACCTAATTCAGACCGAACGCCTTGTATTCAAACCCACGACTAACACTGCGCATTCAATCATCACTACTAATTAAAAAAGTCGCCCGGTATAGAATAAATAACTCATAAATTCTTTATATTTTATGTTACTTCAATAATTGTGGTATATTAAGAAAATTTCTTTAAAATTAATTTTTAATAAAATATTGTAATTTCCATTAATAATACAACCAAGTTAATTTTAATTAAAATCTAGTAGCTAAATCTTCAATAGGTAATACGTCAACAGATCTTTGCCTTATGAATATAAACTAGGAAACCCTCTTTACCATGAGTGAATTACAAAATAACAATAAAATTTAGAAGTGTATTTTTATCTAATCTAATAAGTAAGATTTTAAGAGTTAATACGTTAAGGCTCGGAGCATCCACCACACTAGATCTTTGTCTTTATTCAAGTCCGTTATCGGTAATATCCCTTTTTGAACCACTACCTCCACCACCTCGGTACCAGGTGGTACCACTGGAAGAAGACCTTTGTCGTTTTTTAAGTCCGTTATCGGTAATATCCCTTTTTGAACCACCACCTCCACCACCTCGGTACCAGGTGGTACCACTGGAAGAAGACCTTTGTCGTTTTTCAAGTTCGTTATCGGTGATATCCCTTTTTGAACCACTAC